GAGAGAGAGAGAGAGGGGGGGGAGGGGAGGGTAGGAAAGGATAATCCGCTGACGCATACCTGTATATCTAGACTGAATGACTAGACTTTGTCCTTTCCGACCTTTTCCAGCACTTTATAATATTTCAATATAATCATCTTCTTGGATATCTTAAGTTTCTGACAAAAGAAATCGCTTCGACGACAAGACGCTTTCGGTAGAAGGAGAAAATATTTTCCGGCTCTCTGGAGGCTCTACACGCGAGCTTCAATGCGGGCAGAAAAACATTCACACGAAAAGAATTTCAAAATCTTAATCCTCGGCATTGTCGCGACCTTACGTGTGCAGCCTACAGCGGCACTGACTTATAATTTCATCTCGGGTTTCTAAAAAAAATATCGCTCTTTGCTCGCGATGAATTTCACTTGTCGACCTGTATTTTATCTTAGAAATAATATTTCACCTCGACATAATTCACTTGGAATTATTACCGAGAAATCTCGAATATTTCGCGACGTCTTAAATCTCCTCGGGAAACCTCGGAAAAAAAAAAAAAAAAAAAAAAGAAAATTTCGAGATTCGTTTCCCAATATTTTTGCGGTTTCCCCGGCTCTCGAGGTATCGAGGATCTCACGCGATACCTCGGTACCTCGGTACCTCGGGAAGATAGACGAGGGCTTTCCGGGGGGGGGGGGGAGCGAAGTCGCCTCTCGTTAAATTGTGCCTATGAAATATTGAAGAGAGATTTTCCGCCATCTGCGCAGAGACGGTGATCGTGCTGCTGCGGAGGTCGGAGAACAAGACCATGACCACGTTCAATCACGTGTACCGCTCGATGGCGGTGCAGAGCAGGCCGTCGATCCGGGCGCTCTACCAGGCGATGATGGACTACGTGTCGCCCCCCAACACCCCGGACAATCTTCAGCAGCCGTTGACGCGCGAGACGTTGCAGGAGCGCGTCCGGGAGTTCTTCACGCGGCTCTTCACCATCGCCTATCACTACACCATCAATCCGCACCGCGACCGACAGGACTTCACCGAGAAGTTCAAGTCCTGCCTGTACGAGAGGATAGACGACATACAGCCGTTCGGTGACACGCCGCAGGACGTGTTCAAGAAGATCGGCAGGAATCTGGAGGCCGCCAGGATCCTGGTGCAGTCATTAATGCTCGGGAAAACCGTCCTCGAGAAGACCGAAAACGTGTTGTTTGCTACCGGTAGTGGAAATAGCCCTCAGCAAGAGGCCTGCTACGATGCTCTGCTCAGAATGACATATTGTCCCAGGTGCAAAGGGATCGGGAAGGCCGTTAGACCCTGCAGCGGATTCTGCACCAACGTGGTGAGGTGAGTGATTGTCAATTTGTCCAAGAAAAATGTCCGGGAATGCTTGGAACGCGGCCTTTTCTCAGACGAGAAACCACGAGTTGGCGTGACAAATTTCGCTTTTCCGGTAGCCGATGAGAAATCGTCTGATCGATCATACACGGTACATACCGTGTGTAATAGCGCCTGTAACACCGGCCGTTTTCCCCGATGTTACGATTAAACGATAATTGATAATTATTATAATTATCCGCGGGCATCCACGGATCATTAAAAATTATTATCTTCAATTTGTTCAATTCCGCGATCGTTATAGAAAGATTATCGCCGGGCGACTCGTAATTATTTAGTAGTCGCGCGTAACATAATCATACGATAATCACGTGGTGATTTGTGGCGGATTAATTTCGCGGATTGTCAGGGCAGAAAGTGCAAATAAACGTTGCAGGGGCTGCCTGACGGAGCCGGCGTCCGAACTGGATCTCGCGTGGTCCGGTTACGTGGGGACGGTCGAGAGGCTCGTCGTGGCGGTGAGCAGCGACAACGATCCCCTCGGCCTGAACGTCAAGGTAGCCGTCAGGGAGTTGGACTCCCGCATCTCGGATGCCATCATGCGCGCGATGGAGGAGGGTCCGAAGCTCGAGGAGAAGGTGAGTGAGAACGAGAGTTTTCGACACGAGTAATGCTCGCTCGAGAATGCGCGCTCGGCTCGCCGACCGCTGGGAATTATTAGATGATAATAATAATTATTATAGAGAATTATTATTATTATTATTATTATTATTATTATTATTATTATTCAATCGAGATCGATTTGGAACAAATTCTTGATTGAATACCAAGGTGTCGATGGTCTATTAATTACCAGTGTTGTAATTTTTCTCGCGAGAATCGCGAGAGAGAGAAGTCGTTCTGTACGTACGAATTTTGAGAAATTGACGATTAATTCGTCAATTCATCGAAATTCGTTTGAAGGTATAACGTATGGGTACTTCTCGATAC